TAAGAATATAAAAAGGAGAATTGGAGAGATTTTAAGTAAAAAATAAATCTCCTAAAATGGAGATTAAGCCCTAAATGAAGAACAAATGTTGAGTCACATTTGGATCTTCAGTCTCGCTGTCCATCCACATCACCATAATTTAACGTTTTTTTGTTATAATTTGACGGAAATGGCTAAATATAGTAACGGAAGTGAAGTTAAGAGATTACCTTGTAACTTTTATTAGTTAAAGGATTTAGAGACTAAATATATATATATTGTAATATAAAATATTAACCTCTTTTGAATAATAACACACGACTAACTATAGAAATTTTTTCTTCACATTTAATCCTTTAAATATCAAATATCTAATTTTATTATATTTTTTGAAAACTTATCAAAAGTTTATAAAATTAAAATATTCAATATGGTTGCATATGAAAAGTTATTTTTAGTACGACCCAATTAAAATTAAAATAAAAATATAACTTATAACAATGGATAAAGTCTATAGTACATGATAATGCAGGAAAATTGATTCCAAGTGATAAATTTTGTGTCCATTTAAATTATTTTTTTAGTCTCAAATTTTTAATTGAAATATGTCTTAAAATCTTAAGGGATGAAAAGAAATAAAATATATTTTAAGATTGAAGAAATTAGAAATTAGTTTAGAAATCGATGAAGACAACATAGTGCGAGGGAGGTGTTGAATGAGGCTTGTTGTGAAACTGGTCCGACAATGCATAGTGAAGCTCACTGCAAAGCTAGCGGGTGCGAGGCTGACAATGGAGTTGGCGCAGTATAAGGTTGGATCTATAGCTATCATTGTGGAACAAAGTGAATCTAGTAGTGAAACAAGCGCAAAGTGAAGCTGACGGTGGAATCGCACAAGAAAAGGGTGGTGTCAGAGCTGGTTATGGCGGTGCGATTATGGGTCTAAGTAAGACGAACAATTTAGTTTGTCAGAGCTTGAGTATGATTTTTTCGGTTCGTGTGTTTTATTTTTTTTCATTTTGGTTTGTGGATCTATTCGTTAATGAGTTGAGTTTTTGACTTGGTATGAATTTGCTAGATTTTAGCAATTATGAATATGTATCTCTTGTATTCTTGTTATCACTACCTTTATAAATTTATACCTAAATATAAATAGAAGAGCTAACAATCATAATAAGGCAAAACTTAGAGAGACAAGGGAAAACTTTGAGGTTATCTAAGGGGACTAGCAAATATTTCTAAACACCTTGAACTTGTGTGATTCATATCTAGAGAGTTGGAGATATTTTGAAATACTTGGGTAGAAAATAGATTTTGTTCTTGAGAACTTGGGTGACTATTTTCTTGTAACTTATTTAATCATTTGCAACAACTTTTGGAAGTATAGGGAATATGAGAGCTACTTTTTTCCTCTGAGTATATCATTAAATTGAATTAGGTAAACGAGTTATTATATTTCACGTCTTTCATATTCTTTTGCAAAATTGAATTGTTGTCTTACATCATAGAGAGTTATTTTTGCTAAAGACCAGTTACTTCTGTTCTCATTATTCTTTGTCTCCACACTTTAAATTTTTTGGTGTCATTAACCTATTGGTTTCACAATAATTGGCGTGCAACATGGGACTAAGATATTTTGTTTAGAAGTACGTACTATGGGTTCTAAATGGAAGACTCAGAGGTTTCCCAGAGACAACAATTTTGGATTGTGGAAAATGAATATGCAAGTAACTTTAACGCCTAATAGAAGCATAGGGGACCAAGACGACCACATAATGGACAAGGAGAGAAATGTCATTATCTTGTGTCTTGGGGATAAAATTCTAAGGGAATTCTCCAAGGAGAAGACTGTAGCTTCGCTTTGGGAAAAAATTGAATAATTGTAGATGACTAAGTCTCTGGCTTACAATTTGTATCTAAAACAACAACTTAACTTATTCGGAATGGTAGAGAGCAACCCTATAGTGAAACAGTTGACATAATTTTACAAGATTATTGATAATCTTGAGAATATTGAGGTAGTGGTTAATGATGAGGACAATGTTCTACTCTTGTTTAGCTTATTACCTAGATCTTTTGAGAAATTTAATATTCCATTCTTTATGGTACGAAAGGTACTATTACTTTAGATGAAGTCCAAACGGGTGTAAACTCCAAAAATATACTTAAAGTTAAAAGATTTGAAAATTGACAATAGTGGTGAAGGCTTCAGTAACTCAAGAGGATTAAGTGAGCGTAAAGGGATGTATAAATAAAAGAGGTTTGACAAGTCAAGGGTAAAATGATACACTTGTCAGAAAATCAATCACTTCATGAGAGATTATCACGGAAAGAGGGGAAATGATGATTCTATTCAAATTGCAGTTGTATCCGATGAGGATAGTTATGTGAGTGTTTGTGCATTAGTGGTGTTAATTTTGGAGACTGAAGAGAGTTGATTAGAAGACTCATGTATCTCTCAACACATATGTTTAAGAAAATAATACTTAGATACTTTAAAGTTGGAACAAGGTGGAATAGTTCTCCTCAGTGATAATAAGATTTGCAAAGTTGGGGGTATTGGCAGAGTGAGACTTGAAAGTTCAATGACTATGAGCATCTTATTCACAATGTGAGGTATGTTCTAGAGCTTAGGAGAAATTTTTATCCATAAGCATGTTTGATGATCTAAGCTATTGAAATGGATTTGAACTTAAGGTGTTGAAGATTTAACATGATGAAGTGATCATATCTAAAAAGTCTAAAATATATGGGTTATATATTTTATAAGGTTTCAATATTTTTGTTTGTTCATCATCAGCTGGTGAAAACTTTCATAAAAAGAACAGATTGTGTGATTTGAGGCAAAGGCATGGTGGATGCCTAACGGTTTTTTAAGAGCAATTTAATGAATTTTGCTTAAAACAAGGGATAAAAATGCTTGTAACCGCAGAGTTATCCTTTTGTTTCTAGGTTAAAGTTGGTGCCAAAGCAACTTACAGAGTTGGTAGGTGTTCATTTACAAGAGTAGACTTCCAAACACTTATGGATGTTTGAAGTAGGAAGACTATAACCTATTTTAAAAATCAAGGTAATTCAACTTTTCCTATTTTACAAATTAAGGTAATTTAACTTGATGGTAAAGTTATGTATTATGTCTTTAATGGCTAACAAAGAGTTATGAAGAGTTATGAGTTGTTTGGAGTGAAACCTAGAGGATCGAAGTTCATAAATCACAAATGTATTACTTTTAGTGAGTCTAATCAGGGGAAGAAGAGTAAAAACATATGGATGAATTTTTTAGAAACTATGGTAGAGAATACTTGGTTTGAGGTGGATGTTCCTACTACTTATACTCGTAGTAGTGAGAAGACGATTACCGATGTATCTGGTTATCATTTAACTTGTGATAAGGTAAGGAGAGAGATTTTATCTCACATGGGCGTTTATGCTTGCTTGGGTGTTATCTTTTGAATGTGGCTGAAGTGTTAAAAAAAAAAAGGACATTTAGAGCGACATTCAAAAGTAGGTGGAGTCAAAGATGGTTAAAAAAATATACTTTTAGGCTTGTTAGACTATTAAAGGAGAAAACATTGTTGGAAGCAAGTGACAAGATTAAGGTTCAAGCATTGGTTGAACTTAATCAATCTTGTTGTGTATCTGTTGAGTTTCAACACTCATAAGTATGTATCTGTTGAGTTTCAACCTTTAGAACTTTACAACTTAAGAGGATTGTGAAACACTTCTAAACACATTGGGTTTAAGTGATTCATATATAAATAGTTAGATAAATTAAAAAACAATTTGGTAAAAAATATAATTTATTCTTGAAACTCTGTAATACTATTTTCTCTTAATTCATTGTAATTTTTGTAACAACTTTTGTAATTATAGTGAATAAGAGAACTACTCTCTCCTATAAAGCAGACCATTTGATTGAGTTGAGTAAATAGACTATTGTACTTTTTTGTCTTTTATCTTTTTCTATCAAATTAAGTTGATATCTTATTGCATATAATTATTTTTGTCGAATGTCATTTATTTTAATTGTCATTATTCTTTGTTCTTACAAATCAAATTGTTTGGTGTAATTGAATCTTTCGATTTCACAATACAAACATTATATCATAAATTTTTGTTTGTTGAAATGATTCGATAATATTTTTACGAGTATTTGAATGAGATAATAAGAAATTTCGTTCCCTAAACCTAATCCGCATCGGTTTTGAATTCTCTATGCTAGAAGAATTGCCCATAGCAAAAATATTTTCACAAAATGAAGAGGCCACCCTTTCTATTTCCTTGTGAAACATAAGTAACTAGTTACTCAAATGAAGTTGAATTCTCTCTTTGGAACATTAAGGTAAACAAGTACTCCTTCCCGCCCAAAACACATAATGTTGTATCCACCAACCTCTAGCTAAACTTTTAGTTTCTGCTTTCTCATTAAATGTGGTTGTTGCTCATTTCAATATACCTACACCATAAATACAAACAATACAAACAAAACTACAATTTAAAGATTCAATCTAGTTGAACTCTTTTCCACTAAAAAAAATGAAAAACAATTTTATTCTATATAATAATATTTTGAATTTACACTATCGCACTCTTAGCTGTGAGCTCCGTCTCGTTTTATTTTATTTGAATTTTTATATGACATATTTAGACAGGACGGACTTATCTGTATATCCTCCATAACAGTTAAATAATATATATAAATATTTTATTTTTATTTATATATGAATAAATATTTTTTTAAAAGTGTAATTTTTATTATAGTATAGTCCTAGCATTTATTTCTAAGCCTGTAAAAATTAAATAAGAAACTACTGTATGGTGACCCAACAAGTTAATGTACAGTTTTCCAAATTGTCCCACCTCATCTTTAAAATCTTCCCCCCATCTGACTTGCCTTTAATGCCCTCAATCCAACTTCATTTTTCTATCCTTCAAATTTTCATTTTGAATTCAATCCACATTTATTCACTTACCATCTTTCTTAAATTCCATCAAACAAAAACAACCCAAAAAAACCAAAAATGGTGAAGAAAAAAACATTGAATCTCTCTTCTCTTCTCAAAAACACAGACCTCAAATATTCATCTTCATGGCCATGGCCTTATTGTCACCAACCAAAAACACTTTCTTTTAGAGCTGAAAATAACCAAGATGACATTAACACCACATTCAAAATCATCAACTCAGCTTACTTGGAGCCTTCTCATGAATCTCTTTCTCCAAAAGCTTCTCTTGATGACTCAGGAAAAACCGATTCGACAGAACCCGTGATTCGCGGGTTACCATCTGATCGGTTTTTCTTTGAGCCGGACGAGAGTAACTCCATTTTAGAAGCTAATAGTAAAGTTGTTGCACAAAGTGAAACTACTCAAAGTTTACCGTTCAAAGATAGTGTTGTGTTATCTATGGAATCTCAAGATCCTTATGTGGATTTTCGTAAGTCTATGGAGGAAATGGTGGAAGCTCATGAGGTTAAAGATTGGGAGTGTCTTCAAGGACTTTTGTGTTGGTATTTGAAGGTCAATGAGAAAGACAATCATGGATATATAGTTGGTGCTTTTGTTGATTTATTGGTTGATCTTGCATTTGCTTCGTCTTCGTCTTCCTTTTCTTCTTCGTCATCTTCGTCTTCTCGTTCTCCGTTTTCTCCTTTATCATTTTATAGTTCTTCTATGTCTTCCTCTTATAGCACTCGATGCGCTTCGTGTTCCGCAGTTCGCGAAGAAGAGGTGGATACTTCTAGTTCTTCCTTGTTATTAGAACAAGTTAGGGAAGAAAATGGCGAAGATGAAATTGAAGTTTTAGAAACTGAAATTTCAACTTCATCTTCGTCATTATCAAGTAATTATTGATTTAATATTAAGAAAAGTGATTTTAATTATGTATAACCCTAATTCTAATACGCAATAGTGTATTGTAAAGTAACATTTTTTATCTTATAATTTTTCATGTTTAATTTGACTTTTTTTTTGTTTTTAAATTTCTTTATACTTCAAGATTTATCGCATTTATGTTCTCAAATATGTTATATTTTAAAAAAATTATAATATGTGACTTTTAAATTGTCTGATCTTGAAAAAACGATTATTAAGTGAAATAATAACTACGTAAATGCGAGAGACTAGAAATTCAAATTCATTCTTTGCTTAATATGTGTTTGAGTTTGTGTTAATATAGGTCACACGTGTGGTTAAAATGCAAGCGTGTGAGGATATATTTGAGCTAGGTACTTGAGATGGTCACTTTCTATTTACTTTCAGTACTGAATGTGAAGAAATAGATGTGGAAATTTCTATTTTTGTCATGATTAATTATGTCATGTCTACATTTATGTATAGTCATAATCTTTTGTAAAATCTACGTAGTTTTTTTTATATTTTTTTTATAGCTAAATGACAGCAAATCCTCAATTGATTTCATTGAGATAGACAGTGTATCTTATTTCTCATTTTGAACAATGTTTTTCCTAGCCAACATGACATTATTTGTAGAAATTAATAAATGTACTATGTTATTATGAAACATGTTAGATTGTTAGGTAAGTGTTTTGCTTCAACGGCATTCTATAATTTATGACATAAATAGTTTACTTGTAGCTTGTTGCAAAACCAAGCTTCCTTGTTGTCTTACAAATAATTAAATATGGAAAAGTATTGCCAAATGGAGAAAAAAAAACAGAACTTTTACATGAAATTATGTACTCCTAACTTCTAAGCTTGCTTATTTTTTTGAATTTCTTTTGTTTAATTTAGTATAACTACCACCATAGTCTTCATTTTTATCATGGGTTGTCCACAAGATTCATAAAAATAAAATCCAAAAGTAAATTTTATATATAAAGACACGCAAAATAGATAAACTTTAACTTTAACGTATTAATCATCTTCCAATTCAAGGTAAAAGCGTGACAATTTAAGAATTCATATTCATTTTTATTTCTCTTATTAATTTTGAAGTTTGAGGGCTAATTTTACAGATCTACTTCCCTTCGTCGCATCGAAAATATTGTTGTATCCTTTCATCTTCTGATTCTAATTCCTAACCAAGTAAATTTATGTATATAGACGATTTCAAACACTTAGTTAGTAAAACACTTGATTGCATATACAAATATCATGTGAATTAGAAAATACTAGTATATACTATATAGTAAGAAAAAATGAATGATTTTGTGCAAGTAAATCACACGTGTAGTTACCCTAGAAGTGTGAGATCCACCATTGGATTGATCAAAGATGAAAAAAATGAGAGCCATAAGTTTTGAAATTAAGCAGTCATTATCAAATGATGGGTACAAATCCAGCGCACAAGTATTTGGCATATGGTCCTCTGCATCTGCAACAAACGGCAACTTATCTATATTTCATACCACTTGTGTTCAAAAATATTGTCTTTATATATCTCTCTAATATTTTTTGTGTCAACTTTATTTGGAATTTAATTCTTGTTTTTCAATCCAATATCTATCTTTTCTGCTTACTAGAAAATTTTATAATTGTACAAAAACCTGTCACTCTATTCACCTTTACATTGGTTAAAGGAAATTACTAAAATTCAATATATATATATATATATATATATATATATATATATATATATATATATATATATATATATATATATTTATATATATATATATATATATATATATATATATATATATATATATATATATATATATATAGTTTTTTTATTAAAAGATTAGAAAAAAGAAAATTATTACTCATTATGTATATATGACTCACAGAAAATAATTTGATATCTTTATCCAAAATTATCCACCTAATAATGTTAAAGAACTTATGAAATAATTGTGACTCATTATCAAGAAAAGTAGTGATTGATGTAAAAAACAAGAGAGTCGACATGTTATTGAGAATTAACAATGATGAAATATCTTAGCCAAATTCAGATACCATAAGTCACTCTCAATATTCCATCGAAATAGTAAGTGAGAAAATACTAGTAAAACAAAGTGTATTATTGGACTTTAAAATATACTAGTTTTATTATCATTTGTGTTTATTCTATTTTGTTATTAAGAAAGATTTATTTGCAGTTTATAATATTAAAATAAATATTTATGAATAAATTTGTATAAGTTACTTTTTATAACCAAAAATTAAATAAGTTCAAATTGTTTTTTTTATATATATATAATAATTTGTTTTTATAATCTATTTTAGAGAGTTTATTATAATAAATTAAAAAAAATTATGAAAAATGTCATACATAATTTAAATAATTTCTTTTAAATAGTGTGATAAAACTAATGTCAATAAATAAATTCTAATAAATCAATGCAAACATACTCGAGCGATCTGAAAACATAGAAAGGAGAAAATGAGAAGGACATGAAACAATTTCAATATTATATATTATAAAGTAAAATAAAACTTGATGTGAGAAATATTTAGTCAACAGTTAATTTTTTCTAGAAAAATGAAGGATTATTATAAAAATAAAATAAAAATGAATGAATAGTTGGGATGTATAATTGGAATCACTGAACTTTTAAACAAAAAAACCAGACCAAACTTAGAGATAAGTGTAGTATGAATAAACTAAGTATACTTTAATACTAATAAGTTGCTAACTCCAAAAACTCTAGTGTTCATCTTGCTTTATTTTAACTTAAATTAGTTTATGAAAGATCAAATTCAAGGGCTTGTTAAGCATAGATTCCTAACCTATGATTTTTATCAGAACCGAAGCTTCTAAACCTTGAATATATAAAAAAGAAATTGATAAAAAAATTCCATTTTACATTTAGTAAAGTGAACCTGAAAGTCTTCTAAATAGTAGCTTCTAATATCCATGAAGCAGGCATTAATTTAATACCATATGTTGATATCATGTTTTGTTTTGTAGCTTGTGTATTTGAAATGTTGAAAGTCGTTAGAAGGCTAGTTTGGAAGTTCAAGAAAATCATGAGAGGAACAATTGATTAATTAATGATTTAGAACCATCCAAGAGATTACAATATTAAATCTTTTAAAAAAAGAGTGTAACAATTGATCAATGATTTAGAACCATCAAAGAGATTATAATATAAATCCTCTAAAAATATATATATATATGAGCAAGTTCAAGGCACATGTATTCTACTAACTTTATAGATAAAATAGAGAATTGATTCGAAGATTAATTTGATTATGTAAAAATTAGATTTAAAGATTTAACTAATTAAAAGGAGACAAATATATATATATATATATATATATATATATATATATATATATATATATATATATATATATATATATATATATATATATATATATATATATATATATATATATATATATATATATATATATATATATATATATATATATATTTGTCTCCTTTTAATTAGTTAAATCTTTAAATCTAATTTTTACATAATCAAATTAATCTTCGAATCAATTCTCTATTTTATCTATAAAGTTGTTTTGAAACAAAATATAAACGGTTTTTTTATATTTAAGAAACACACAAGGATTAAGGTTAATAAAGAAAACAAGTAAGAAGAACAAGAAGAAACATCAAAAATTGGTTATAAACTGTTATTCTTTCCTTTATCTATCAAACAAAATTACAAGTATACAAGAATAACAAATAACCTCTATCTTTGAAATTAGGATTTTATCTTCCTATTTTTCCTTTAACAAGATGAGAAACTAGCATGCTATTTATAAGAAAACTAGCACACTAACCTAATGAGATTTTTAACAATTACTCATTACAAGCTAACTTAGGGTACAAGCTAACTTAAACAATCTGACTTACAAGCAAGATCCAATTTAACATGCTAACAAACCTAACAATATTGACTAATGCATGTTAGAACAAACTTCGACTACAACACGCATTACTCTGACAACATACTAGAGTTCGATTCAATATCTCACAAATATCCACGTTGGATCTAACTTTATAACATCAACAAACTAGCTTTCTTCATTCAGCTTTATCAACTACATACAGTGGAAAAACTTGTAACTGGGCAACGTCTTGGTGATCATATCAGCAGCATTATGATATGTCAAAACCTTTAGCACTTGAACTTCTCTATGCTCGATTACCCCTCTAACGAAATGCAACCTCACATCAATGTGCTTGATTTGCTCATGATAGGATGAATTCTTCGACATGTGTATTGCACTTTGACTATCACATTTAACAGTGATAACTCGACCTTGAAGTTTCAGCTCCTTTGCAAAACCTTCAAGCCACAATGCTTCCTTCACAACTTCAGTTGGGGCGATATATTCCACTTCAGTGGTTGATAAGACAACAACCTTCTGAAGTGTAGCTTTCCAACTGATTGTTGTCCCAAACATAGTGAGCACATATCCAGAAATATATTTTCTGGAACCCATACAACCTGCATAATTAGAGTTGAGATATACTTCAATTGATGTTTACTATCTTCACCCATGGTGCCACCATAATTAGGACTATATTCAGAGGCTCATTTATGTACCTTAGTATCCACTTCAATGATTGCCAGTGAGCCTTTCCAGGATTCGTCATGTACCTGCGTACAAGACTTACTGCATATGCTATGTCGGGTCTAGTACAGACCATAACATACATCAAAGAACCCACGATATTAGCATATGGAATGCTATTCATGTAAGCTATTTCGACATCAGTAATGAGACACTGATCTATACTCAGCTTAAATTGAGGGTTTGTCGAAGTCACAACAGACTTTGAATTCGACATACCAAACTTTTTGAGAATCTTCTATAGGTATGACTCTTGAGATAAGCATAATTTCAACTACTTTCAATCTCTTTGGATGTCAATCCCAAGAATCCTGGACGCAGCTCCCAGATCCTTCATGTCGAACTCCTTATTTAGT